GTTTCTGATTAGAATATATCCACTTGATAAGATTTATGAAAGTGTCTCATAATTGTCTTTTTCAGTATAGTATTGATCTAAACTGGATGGATACATTGGTAACAGCATCATTATCCATAGTGATATTTTTTCATATCATCAATTGTTATTATTTATTTTGATCTTGCAAGGTTTTTAAAGAATTTGCTGCTAAAATATCGAGATCCAGGCCGTTCTTTTGCATGTTTTAAGTTTTTTCTATAATGCTCGGAGTTTTGGAAAACCACATTAGTGGCTAACTTGAAATTCAAATGTTTCTGCGAGAAAATTGAATGTCGTGTTATTAGAATAAAGTTTTTCTGAAAGATCTAGAGAATGGATAGTCTTGTAGACTAGCATTGGCTAAGCTCTAGTTGAAATATCCGACAGAAGATTTCCATATTCACACTCAGCATCATTTTCCTCGTCGAACCGATTGACGAATCAAAATACACAGTTAGAAGCATGTTTATTATGTAATGAAACTGATGAAGAAACAGATCGAAGTGCTGAACATTAGACTATCAAATTAGGAAAATTATTATTCCACTATTTATACAATATAATTAATCGATTGAATAGTATTTAGATAAAAGTCAAATAACTAATGTTGGCACCAAATTAAAAAATAACATTATATATTCTTTATTTTCAACTTCATTTTGCCTACAGTACTTTCAACTAACCATTGGAGATGAAATTTTGATGTTTTTGCAACGGCATATTGGTACGATCTCCCTATTAGAAATGTTTGATAGATCATGTCGCCTAATATTTTATGTGTTTATTTTTCAATGACTATCTTTTGGTATATCCGTTCCATGTTCCGGTCAAGCATGTCAACAAGACATATCTGAAACAATAATTAAGTCTGAAACAATTCTTGTCGTTCCATCTGTTGTTTCCTGTTTTACTGGAAAAAAAAAGCCAATGTTATATTATTCTTGTTAAATGACTACCATGATCACCATCATTTTTTTGTCAAGATTAGGTGGATGATTAAACATTTATTTTGGTATATTGATAGAGAAAATTATATACATATGTATTCGGAACATTTTTTAACTATCATCTTCGCCACTTTAATAATAAATCGTAGGTGTTTGATGTGTTGAAAATACCGAAAATAAATGAAACATTGAGAAAGATTTGATCGTTTAAAAAAAATGAGAAAAATCTTGTTTACACCGGACTTGTATAAGAATACTAGAACCAAAATTGGGTAAATTAAAACACTAGATCATCTTTGGTTGTACAAGGATGAAATTTAATATTAACTCAAATAAATGTGTCCTTAGATATCATTGCTGATCTAGAATGTTTTGTCGTTGTATTCAAATGTGGATAAGAACTGATTAGATCATTGGTCGGTGCTGATATTATTGAGTTAACATGAGCATACAATGTTTTATTTGATATTGGTCGATAGGATGATGGGGACGATTGAAAATGTACTTGTTTTGGTGAATTATTCACAGATGATATTAATGAGTATGTCATTGGCATAGGATGTGTTCGTTCTCGTTTTAATAATAATGAAGTATTTGAAAAACTAGAATTTTTTGGATTAGTCTGTTGTTGATCAAATGCACGATAACTATTATAATCAATCAATGTTGAAGTATTTAATGTTTTACAGTCTTTATATAACCAATCGGGATAGAGAATTTTTTCTATTGACCATTCGTTTGTATCACTTAAACCACCAGTGTCTTCAGTCCATTCATCAACATCTAAATGGAAAAAAAAAATTATGTAGACTTTTTAATTTAGTTTATCAAAAAATATTTACCTTCAACATCTTGATGTGTACTACTGTTACTATAATAATCACTTGTTTGTGGTGGTTTTACAGTTGAAGATAATTGTTGAATATAAAGATTATCAGCTCGATTAACGCCTATAAAAGAAAACAACAATTTATTACACTTTTCACATAAATGACTATTTAATGATATATGATCAAGTGTATAAAAATAGATATATGTATCAAAGAGAAGTATATACCGTTTAATTAAAGAACTACTCATGTCATATAGAAGATATTTTATGTCATCTTTCTATTCTTCGGTATGTGTTAATTCCATACACTAGTATAGCTGATGATACATATTTGGACATTTGCATCTGTTACGAAATATGATTGTTTGAACAAAACTAACAGAAGTTTACATATGTGGCAAAAAGAAAAATATTCATTTAATCTGATATCAACAAACGTTAAGTTTGTTCAAATGATAATAAAATCATAAATCTAACATAGATCAATTGTTGGAAATACTTATTTTACGATATATTGATATTTAATCTGTATGTATGTATGTATGTATAAATGATGTAACAACTTCTATATTTAATATCTACGAACTTTTGTATATGTGTATATGTGTTTATGTTTACAAAAAGCCTTCGATGTTTCAAGGTTTAAGCGGTAATAATATAAAAATCTAATAATCGGGAAAGAATGATGATATCAAATCATTTTTTCTTCTTTTCTCATATAGATAGACATATCATCTATAATTATTTTTATTGACAAATTAGTATTGAATCTTTCAACAAACACCCATGTCTAACACATATAGATAGAGTGTGTATACTTTTAAATACAGTATAGAACGCGTTACATTAAGTTACGTTTTTGATCTTAATCTTAGTGATGAAAGATTAAATCATGATAATATCAAACTGTTTATCATTAAAAGTAGCCAATATTGACAATTGGCTCTTCAACGGCGACAAATCTTGTGCTAAATAAAATAACCTTGACCCTGTGTATATGTTCTGTACATACTGTTTCATGTTAAGCGATTGACTCTCTCTCTCTCTCTCTCTCTTTCTTTCTTTCTCTCTCTCTCTCTCTAATGATAGCCTGTTGATTGCATTGAAACGCAAAAAGAAAAAAATGTAAATTAAAAAATGTAAAATGTAAAAAATGTAAATAACAACATACATTCTATTGCGGTACAATTAATTAATAAGAATACAATTTTTCTGTCTTCTTTTGTCGGACAAAGATGGAGATTTTTTTTGTCAAAATTATTTAGAATATAGTGCACCCGTTTCTAAACTTGATTAAGTCCGATTAATATTGACAGTACAAGGTGTACTAATAAAAAACTAATATGATTTGAGCACGATAGAAAATAAAATAATTATGATGGTCAGTCAATTTTTTTACTTGATGAGGCGACATGCCTGTGAGATCAATTTAGTACAACAGAAACAAAAGAAGAAAGGTGATTTTTATAAAAATCGAGTACATTATTTTAATATTTAACATACCTGTATAGGATGGCGATGGTGAAGAATGATTTGAAGTTTGTTTTGGATGAATATCTTCCTTAAATAGAGAGAAAAAATATGACAATCTTCAGACAGTTAGATTATTCTTGATGGAAGTGTTGATATGTAGATCAAACAATAATACTCACTAGACTAAGTTTTGAACATGTTGAAATTGATGAATTATGTTCTAAATCTGGTAAACGATTTTCAACAATCATCATAACATCTTTTCTCTCTTGTTGTTGTTTTTCTTTCTTATTTTTATTTTCATTACATTTAACATAATATAAATATTTATTTCGACGATAACGACATATTAAGATGAGAACGGTGCAAACAATTAGAGTCAAAATAATAGCTGCACCAATGAAACATGTAGACAAGACGATAATGTTACGTTTTATTGATAATGATGAACGATGAAGAAGTAGTTCATCGACATTACTCGGTTGCATGAATAGTGTTGCATTTGTCTCATTGTCACCGACTAACAATTGAAATTGAATGAGAGATGAATAACGTATGGGTGATCCATTATCTGTTGCTTGAACAATAACTTGATAACTGCCTAATATGGGAGTTGAATTAACCATTATACGACCATCATTTTGAAACCATAAAAACGTTATAATTGGCTTTGACTCGACAAGTGTATAAGTTAAATAACCATTGGCATTTTCATCATTATCATGTGCTCGAAGTTGACCGATCATACTGTCCAACAATACAAGATCCTTATTTATAATTAATAACGTATGATTTTCTTGAGGTGAAACCCAACGTGGTTCATTATCGTTAACATCAGTGATATGAATGATAACTGGCACCGTTGATGACATACGTGAATCATTTATATCAGTTACAATAGCATTAAATCGATAAGTAGATTGTTGTTCACGATCTACGGATGAGTTAAGTTTTAATTCACCATTGCTTGTCAAATAAAATGGTATCATTTGATCATCTAAACTATATTTCATACGACCATTTATATCTGAGTCAAGATCTGTTGCAGTAACAATACCAACTGGAATTGTTCGATTATGATCTTCACTTATAAAAAATTCATATTGTTTTTGATTGAAAAATGGTTTATTATCATTTTGATCTTTTATATTAACAATTACTTTGGCACGAGATGATAATGGACCTGGCTGTCGACCATGATCACTCGCAATAATGTAAAATTCATATGATGAACGTAATTCATAATCGAAAATTGTTGTGCATTTTAATTGTCCACTATCACGATCAATTATAAATGGTACGGTATCGTTAGAGGTCTCCAATGAATATGATATGTAGCCATTGTCGGCTGAATCAGGATCGTATGCTTCAATACGTGTCAATGTTTCGTTCATGCTATTATTTTCATCAATGGATAAAATATACTGTGATTGTAGAAAAACAGGTTCATTATCATTAACGTCAATAACACGGATTATTAACGTTTTTGTTGTGCTTAATGGTTGTTTTGGATCCAAATCTTCGGCATAAAATGTCAAACGATGCCATTGTTGTTGTTCACTATCAAATGTTTTACTACGATTTAACAGATACGTACTATTATCAATCTGATATAATCGAAATGAATCATTATCATTATCGGTATTTGTATTCGTTTCTGTATTACTAACAAAAGATAATTTTACTTGACCTCCCAAACCAGTGTCCCTATCTGTAACGATTATTTGTGCAAAAAATTTTTCTTTTGGATAATTCTCTTCTATTTCCACTAAATCAATGTTATTATAATTAATTTCTGGTAAAAAACGTATTTGAATTTGAGGTGCAACATCGTTAACATCAATCAATGTAATATTGACCAATGTATGAGATGATCGTGGCTCATTACCAGAATCTTTTGCTAAGAGATAAAAATATAATTTTAATTAAAAATAATTAGATAGTATGTGTATGTATCTCTCTTACCTTCAATATAAAAAATATAAGATGTCCGTTGTTCATAGTCCAATTTACTTTTTAATGTTATTACTCCCGATGTATTTTCAATGGCAAATTGATTTTCATACTGTTTAGATGCATCTGTTAGACTATAGAAAATTTTTGCATTTTGACCAATATCATCATCTTTTGCATGAACTTGTACTAGTGTAGTATTCACCGGTATATTTTCTGCTATTTGAACTGAGTATTTATCATATTCAAAACTAAATTGAAATATTAATATACGCAGTTATACAACCATAAGATTAAACAAAGTAAACACTACTTTTCTATTAGATTTTTCTACTTATTTCTTACCTTGGTGAGCAATCGTTAACATCATCAACAATAATTCTTACATATAAAAATGCTTCATGTTTGGCAGTATCAATGACTACGATTGTACAATTATAATTATCTATTTTTTCACGATCTAATGTTTGTTTTAGAACAAGTGCTAAACGATTTGGATCTGTTAATGATGTTAATGAATTTGTATCTACATTTAAAATATCTGGCGTTTCTAATTCAAATGGAAAATCACTTGGATTTCCTTGAATAATTAATCGATAGGTTAATCGATGATAATCTAATTCATCACGATCATTTGCTTGTTCAATAAATAATTTTGATTGTAATGGTGAGTTTTCTGATATATGTGGAGTGATAGTTGATAATGGATAGGGAAAATGAGGTTGATTATCGTTCTAAAAATAGAAACAAATAAAAATCATGAATTAGCTATGAATGAAAGATAATATGTCGAATAAATACGAACCACATCGGTGATAATTATTGGTATATGAATTAATGTTTGATTTGAAACTTCAAATATTTTTAAATGAAATTTACACGAACTATAGTGGTGATGATAATGTTGATTATTACTATTTTGACATATTTGTTCACGATCAAGATCGATAGCCGTACGTAATTCTCCTGTTTTTGAATCTAATTTAAAATAACGTTGTGGATCAGAATTTGGTTGTAAAAAATGATAAGATGTTTTAGTTGTTTTATGTAACATATTAGAAAGTGACACTAATAAATGATTGACCGCTGTATGTTCAGGTATGGTTATTGTAGCTAAATCAATGGTTATTGATGATGAACATTGAATATGATTGTGAACATTTAACCACAATAACAATGAAAACAATAGTAGCATTATTGCCATTATATCGTTGTATATATATCGACAATCGTACAACTTTAATTTATAAAAGTGTTTCCTTCAAGGTTGTATCCTTGAAAATGAAGAAAAAAAAACACAAAATTAAAACGTTGTAGTCTCTAATTATTCAAGCATATTAAACAGAGTTTGTTCAATTTATTAGCTCTTTATACCTATACTTATACCTATTTTAATTCTGATTATAGTAAAGAAAGAAAATGAAAAGAAATAACGAATACTTGAAGAAGAAGAAAAAGAAGAGAAAAAAAAAAGTAAAGCTCGTTAAAAACGCATTTGTGTAATTTGTAAGCGGTCACTCGAAATAATCAATTAGAAACATGAAAATAAAAATGACAGAATAACAGGCGAATAACTATTTTAATGAACATTAGAAGAAGTCTTAAAAAAACAATAAAAAAAAAAACAGGTGCCAAATATGAGTAAATGAAACCGTACGATATGGTAAATGACTACTAACAAACGCGTTTTTCTCGTATTTTTTTACGATAAAAAAAAAAATTATAAACATATAGTTTTCTCTATGTTTTTACCATCGATCAAATTTGAACACACACACACACACATATATATATATATATATATATATATATACCTATCTGAATTGTAACCAAAATAATATTTTAAAAGATATGCCGGCTACTTTAAATGTTTACATAACATAATGTTAAGAGTTTGATAAGAGGCATATTTCTATGAATTAATATTACTGGCGGAGAAAATAAATCGACATCATTTGAAAATTTTTATTAACACCATTCGTTGTTTTACAAAAGAAATCTTTCGTACTATTTCAAAAACAAAATTCGTTTAAAACTTACTCAACCATTAGGTGAAGGAAACAACTGTTGTTATTAAATATTACACAATAAAATCTTAAAATTCGATCTGATTATATTTCCAAAAAATAAAATAAAATGATTTTGACTGACTATTCTTCTTTTTTTTTGTGTTCTATCATTGTATCCGTTATTTTCAGTTTATACAAAAAAACATTTTTTTCACCTTATCGGAAGGAAATAATTAATCGCATTTTTTAAGAGATAAATTTAGGTTAAACGGATATTCCTTTAACGAAGCGGAAGAGTTATATACAAAATGTTTGCGAAAGATGATGTATCCTGACATATTTATAGTAAGAACTCAACAGAGAAAAATAGATCATTTCATTGTCATAGCTCTTAACAAATCTTCGAATTGCCAACAGTACAAATTTTAAGATGCCTGTGCTACAGCATATAACTGTTATTCCAAAGATTTTCTGAAAAATCGTTTTTTTTTTTTGAAAGTTTTTGAAAAAACGTTTCTGCATACAGAATGTTGCAGTAAGGTCTTGGCTATCAACTACAGAAAACCACACGTCTAGAGTCAGTTGTGTTCTCTAGTTATTCAAAAAATAGTCAGCCGCATTCGTTTTTTGCAGCGATACTAATTGTGATTATTTTGAATATTCTCTTAAAAAGATGTTTTACATAGTATATAAAAGATTTTTATATCCCCATCAATGATACACTACTTTTTCATGAGGATATGTTCGTGAGAAAACTCTTTCGTTTTTTCAAAATGTGGATAAAATAGAGTATTTAAAACGTAGAAGCTGAAATGATTTTTTTCCTATACTGTTTCAGAAGAATTTTAAAAAGATAAAAGGGTTTTTCATGAACATCTTAAAACGACACACAAAGATCTTGCTATAAGTAAAATGGTGTAGTCTAATGAAATGTCTAGTTGAGTCAGTCACAAAAAGAATTATCTGATAGAAGAAGTGAATTAGAACAGTATAGAGAAAAATCGATCATATAGGATAGGCGTTAAACGACCAATCAAATATTTATCATTTTCACTGGTATCCTCATCAAAACCGACATACGCATAAGAGAAATCTAACAAATAAAGATATATCTCTTTTAGCACATATTGTTTGTCCGATATCGTATGTGGTAACGATTTCCTTTTGTTGCTTCTTTCCTCTGACTAAATTCGATCTGCTTTATTCATTTGTAATCAGATGCTAATATGAGAAGAGATATCTTCGTATTTATTAGGCTCATATTGAGATTTGACAAGACCTTTTTTCTGTTGTGTGAGTAACAAGATTATCTAACAAATAATTGAAATTTTTTTGTTATTTGATAACTATAAAACTATTGAAAATCAAGTGTATAAGAAGACTTTTGACAATTAAAATTCACATACATCAACACGTTCACTGTGACTCTTGACTCGCTAAAATTATATTTTTTCAATTTATTATTAAAATAAAAAAAACTTCGTAAAAAATTTTTTAAACAAAAGTAAATAGGCGGAGAATTTAGTGAATTGCAGATAAACTTTACTTGACTTCTTCATTATCTCATCGAATAAATATGTATATTTGATTGAATACTCATTAAAATAAGGGTATACCTTTTCTGTCAAAAAACACAAATAGAGTAGTTAGTTATTGCTTTCTTTCATTACGATAAAAATTATACTTCAAATAAGTGAGAAAAAAAAAACCTCATCCTCTTTAATTTTCAACTCATCATCTGAAAAGTATAGAAAAAAAATCTCATTCATTTCTACTTGTATATCATTTGGTCATTTCTTTTTTCTTTTGATTATTCAAAAAGTTGACAAGCGGAAATGAGAATGGTAACGAAATAAGCATTAAATCGGTTTCACTGTATACATCGAACAACGCGGGATTGTTCAAAAGGTGAAAACGAGATATCAAGTGATGACAGTAACGAACTTTTATGTACACACACACACACACACATACATACACATATATATATATATATCCCTTATCCTAAGACTTAAATCATGTCTATACGCATATAGAGCTGAACAAATGAATGAATGAATCGTTAAATCAATATGACTGCATGCACATATGTATATCTGAAATGACAACAATTCACATCGTATTTTTGCTGTCAACCATCGGGTGAAATCTCACCTCGATAAACCGGAAATCTTTTGCTCTAACTCTATACTCTTTTCCTCCTTTTTTTTGTTTTGTCACTCACCTTATATACATAATTTCATGAATGCTCAAAACCTTGGTGATCGTTGAACACAATCTTGAATAATCATTATTAATCAATTAATCTGATGTCTTTAGACTGAAAAAAAAAAATACCCAATCTATTTGTTCAAGAGAAAACTGGTGTGTCCTTTTCCTTTTTTATTTTTTTATATATTGTCGAGACACAGTCGATAGATATTCGCTTCTAGATCTACTGTATTTTTTCTTTCTTTCTTTTTTTTTTCTCTCTTGCTGGTTAACACATGTTCAATGACTTCTTGTGATACTACCACTTACTCAATTTCGAACGATCAAGTGGCATGGAAATTGGCTTGAAGCATTAAAACATTATGATATTTCATGACGGTGGCGTCAAAAGTAAAACGTATTCATAGAATTTGAAGATATTTCTTGACTATACATAGTCAAATCAACATTATAGAACACTTAAGAAAAAAAAATTGATGATGCTTTTCAATAATAGAGAGAAGAAATTATGCGATGTGATACATATACATACAGATATTCTTTTGATCAACTATATTATAGATGTATGAGTGTTGAATAAGACTTCTATATAGTTATTTAAATCGAATAGAACCTTCATTTAAAACAATAAAATCTTCAATATATAATAGTCTTTAGTTTAATAGAAACAACCAAAAATTAACAGTTTTTTACTAATGTATACATTCCAGAAACAGTGAAAATATCTTACGTGCTAATCACATTTTGTTTAAGCAAGTACATCCAATAGTGTCATACTATCGAATTGTTGTTTGTAATACGATCTGAAGAAAACATAAAAAAGCTTCGATTTTTCCTTAATGTTAGTGATACTCTCTGAGATGACATTGAACTTTAGTTGGCGAACATTTGTATCGAATTGATATTTAGTTTTTGTTTTCATTAATGAGTGGTACGATTCAATTTCTTATTCACAAAAACGTTTTTTTTTTTACGAAAGATAATAGAATAGAAAAACGACATTTTTTATGACAATCAAAAATTCAGACTATGTGCTCATTCTCATTTGATTATAGAGATATAAAATTGAATTGAACATAGAAGAAGAAGAGATAAATGAAAAGAAAAACAATAAAAACATGTTACACCTCAGATACTTTATACAATTGATGACGTAATATCATATGGTGCCAGCTTTTTGGTTATATACGCGTATAAATGTATCTATATACAAACCATGACTTTTTACCACATTGATTCAAACAAGAAAACAAATGACGATTACTCTGTTATCGGTTATTTAAAATCGATTTTCCAGTTCAGCGAATAATTTAGACTCACACTCATATTGAAGGCTCTTCTTTTTAAATAGCCAAAATGTTCTTTTGGTTCATATGAATAATTTTTACCTCAAATATAAAAAAACCTGACATGTTCTAATGGTATTATTGCATAATTTACAGGTCATGAGAGAGAAAGAGAGAGAGAGAGAGAGAGAGAGTCATGCTACACGTTAAGTGGTCAAAAGAGGCAATAAATAAGTGAGGAAAAAAAGGTTCTATAATAAAAAACCGTTAAAAAATTGTTCAAGATATCATTTATATCTTCTTATAATATTTTATCTTGTATAAGAATCCTCTTTTATATTTCAAGATAAACTGAACAGTGTGTGTTACAATAGGGAAAATAGCATACGGTATACTCAAAAAGACAATGTGAATGTCAAAAAATCATAAAGTATTCAAAGTATCACTTAGACAACAGAGTCGTAGAATTGAATGAAAATAACTTTACAACTACTAACTAAATTATCAAATCTAAAACAATCTTTTTATATATGCATAATATAGAAATTTGAATTATCTTTCCAGATGAGTACTATTCAAAACTTTGTGTTGTTCGTAAGAAGAAAATAATCGAAATCATTCTAGTAAAAAAATATAGTTTCACATTATAAATGTGCTCATGTCACATGCTTTAAAGTGCTGCTAGTTGTGTTTATCTG